GATTTGGGATTAAAATTTGGGATTTGGAACAGGATTGGGATTTGGAATTTGGAATTGGGAATTGGGATTTGGGATTTTCCATTTACTTTACAGTTTACGTTAAGCGATGAAAAGGTTTGTGAACGCTTTGTTAATTTGCATTGTTAGTAAATGACTTCACATTTAGGTTAACCTTTGGTTTTAGTTGCCTGATGACCGTCGTCGCGCAATACTGCAAACAATATGGAGAAGGATATACATAACCGATAGGTAGGCGTTCACATTTGCACAAAGCTTCTATTATAATATTTTTGACACCTTTTTGAATTTTTATAGATGGGACTCAATATCAAATACTAATGATTTATAATCTTCATAAGACTCGCTTAAAGCGAAAGCTCGATCACCTCTACCGATAGAGACTAATATTGGGCATTAATAAAGATCATCCAAATGATGTTTAAAATCGCAATTCTGTAAATGTAAGTTGACAACCTACCCAACTTTTTTAAAATGTTAGACCACTGATCACGATAACTTTGTGCATAACTTCTAGTTCTGACGTCATCACTGTGGAAAACAACCATGTTAAACCTCAATTTAATAGATAATGTATTTCAATTATTATTAATTTTTACCAAATCAGTCGTTCTGTAGTTGCTCCAAGTAGTACATCCGCCAAGTTAACCATTTGATCTTTAAGTGTTTCTATTCTAGCGTCTTTCATTTGAACTTTATTATAATCATTTATCCCTTGGCTAGTATATTGAAGTGAGTCATTAACCGTCTGACTAGAACTTTGAACTGTGAAATTTCGAATTGCAACGTCCGTTTCCTCAAACTGTTGATGAATAACTTTTAAAAGCTCAGGTTGAACTATAAATTGGTAATAAATATTTCTGTCAATAAAAATTAAAAATACAAATACTACTAAAACTAAATATTAACTTACAAGTCCAGGAATCTTTTGATTCGTTCGAAGTTATTGCGTACAATTCTTTATTAATTCTTCTAAAATCAAAAGCCGCTTCAAAAGCAAGCTATAAATAATGCATATAATAAGATTAATCATAATAATCACGTCAAATTAACAAATGCAAATATGCGTTCTTAGTATTACCAGTATAATAGTATTTGCCTCAAAAACCATTATATCACGGTCATCAGCGTCCATATAATTCTCTATTACACGTTGAATGTAAGTGAAGATAGTACCAAGATCACGCACCTGAAATAAAGTGATTAATTAAGTGCTCTCAAATTACCCCCAACAAGTCAAAAAAGTAATACATACACGGTATCGATAAAAAAACCTGGCTAAATCCTCATTTTTGGATTGAAAGTTACGGTCCTGAAAATATCCATAGATAGCACTATTTAATAATTTTCGGCAAGGCCCCTCTGCTCCGTCCTGCAGAGGTCTAATTCAATTTAAGAGTCAAAAAATTAATAAATAGGAAATATTGAGTAGCAATATTATCTATAATTTATCAGTTACGAATAAGATGCATTGTGATGATTCCATAACTTTTTTACACAGGCCATCTTTTCCGCATTCCAAAACAATCGCTGTCGTGTGGATGGGTGTAACTAAAATTACGACGCAATGTTTTAAAAAAGCGAAAATGGAATTTGAAAGAAAAAAAAATAAAGATGCTAATAAAGATGCAACACATAAAGTCAGACTTTTTTATAGTCGCCAGGTTGGAAATAAAATCTGGCGATTATAAAAGTTGACATAAAGATCAAATTTTATATAGCTAGAGCTAAGGTTGTACCATATTAGGTGTGACTATCCTTTAAACCGTGATTGATCTGTGATTTAGCTACCAGATTATATTGGATTGTCTATTTGTAGTATATTTGAAGTTGAATTGACGGTTTAAGGGATAGTGAGGTCTAATTGTATTTACTTTTTATGTAAAGTTCTTACCTTGTCAATAACATTGCTGTTGCGAATGAACTGAATAAGTAATGCCATTTTATTATGTCTCTCATGCAATTGTGATTTGAGATCAATTGATTCATCTAAATATTGTGAACCTGTAATAACATTATACTATAAGTAAAACATAGTTATGCGAAAAAAAAAGAAAAAATCTATATTAATAAAAGCAATTATTAATTACTAGAATCTAATATTTCATCACTAAGTTCGAGAACCACTTTATTGATGTCGCCTTTAAAGTCTGACGATAAAGTACATGACACAGGAACCTAAATAATTTTTAAAAGTTTTAAAAATAAACCAGAATGGAAAAGCCAATATATAACTAGAAAATTTACATTGTGGTCATTGTTACGAAAAATTGCTTGCTCAAATATAAGTTTCAACTCTCGATTTCTTTTAGCCTGTAATAAAAATTAACAGTTAACAATAAAAATATCTTAATTTGTGTAGATCTTGCTATATTATTAAATGTCGCAGATCATAATGAAATCGGATTAAAATGAAATGAAGGGTTTCTATTTGACCCTCTAAAACCCATTTAT